AAGGCTCCAATTCACACTCCGCCGACAACATATGATCTCCAATACTACGACTCCAAAGCTGTAAACATCTGCCTTGACTGTCACTGGCAGTTTCCTGTGCCACTCTGGTGCAACATACCCCCTTGTTCCTCTGATCCCAGTGAAGGTTTTGGTTTGGTCTGGCTTTAGCAGCTTGGCCAAACCAAAATCAGATATTTTTGCATTCCCCTGCTCATCCATTAGTATATTTTGAGATTTGATGTCACAATGGATTATTTGGGTATCGCACTCTTCATGAAGATAGAGGAGACCTCTTGCTATGTTGCGAGATATTTCCACCCTCTCATTCCAGCAAGGTGGTTTTTCAGGTGTAAAGAGCACATCAGCAAGTGATCCATTGACCATGTACTCATACACCAACAGCCTGTTAGCTCCTTCGTGGCAATATCCGATTAGTCGAACTAAATTTCGATGATGAGTTCTGCCAATAATTTTCATCTCGTTTTGAAACTCTCGTTCCCCTTGATTTGATACTTTGTCCAATTTCTTCACTGCAACGACCTTCACGCCATGATCCAACATTGCGGTTCCTTTGTAAACTGTCCCGAATGCTCCTTTTCCAATTTCTTCCTTGAAATTATGAGTCATCTGCACAATTTCTTCAAAACTAAACGATATCGGGGCAACATTCTCGCACAAATGTGAGTCGCCATGAGTAGAAAACCTTTTGTATCTGAAAACATGCCTCCTATAAATGAAAGCCCCAGAAATTACCAACACAATGATTGCAAAACCAGTCAGTGAAACTCCAATAACTAGAATGTCCATCCCAGGTTTTTCCTTTCCTTCTTTAGACATATCGTGTTTTCTTGATTCACTGGATATACCTACCTTGATCAAAGCTACGTTTGAATCACGAAGATTCCTTCTCCCAAATCTCAGAGGAAGCCTCTGCATCTTGCACTCCGCGTCTTTAAACATGGCAGCTTCACAGGTGCAATCCTCGAAACATGCTGTCTCGCAGTCTTCTTTGGTTGTTAAAGACAGAATAGAATATCTCGAATCTTCCCACACGGTATTCTCAACTGCCTGAATGGTGTACTGGATTCTCCCTGGATCGCTTTTGCAGCTCTCGGTGGAGAAATTCCTTTCACAGCCTGCACTAATATTGCCCTCTATAACTCGAGCAAATCCTGGAAGACATCTACAATCAGCTTCTTTATCTTCAGTAACGCAATAGCTATTAAGCCCGCATAGACCCTTGGGGTCACATTTGTCATACGTAGATGACCATATAACTGATTGATTCCCACTCTGATTGAATTCGTAAGAATACAGTCGGAAGATACCATCCGAATCAATTTTCATCAGATAAATTGTTCCATTTTTATCATATCCTCCTCGAAATATATCCTTTATGTTGAAGCCTGTGGAATTGAGCAGGTATAGATGTCCATCTTTATCAAGATTCAGGCTCACATTATCTCCTCTGCCATCTGTACCAGATGCCCAATAAGCATAGCTTGCTGTGTCGGGAGTTTCCACAGGGTACTGCACAAGGTTTCCATCATTCTGCATCTTAAGACGAAATGTTCCTGTTGACTGGTCAGTTTCTGAGACGCTAGAGAACAGCTCTACCCCAGCTAAGAGATGTTGTCCTTGTAGAATGGTAGTGGTAGGATGATCGAAGCTCTGCCATAT